CAGTAAAAGCCCCATTCAATAGATCAGTTAAGAAGAAAAATTTTGGAACCATACAAAAGTTGATAGCTTTTAATTTTTCTTGAGTTTATTTTTTATTGTAGATATATTATGAAAGATTGTRTAACGTAAAGTGTAGCTCCTCCAAGTATTTTCTCTGTCTGCATTCTATCAAAATACGTTTTTCTTTCAAGATTTCTTTTGATGAAGTTTTCAAAAGCTGTTTTCATGTGAACAGGRACAGCACCGCAACTCTCAAATGGCTTCCGAATTCAAGCAATTTGATTGGTTGATGTCCACTTTCTTGGTTTTTGAWTGGTTGAKGAGGAAAGCCATTTAAGAGTCATCAAAAACGTTGATACGCTTCTAAACATAATTTTTTTCCCCAAAGCTAAAATGGTACAAAAGTTATTATTTAGGTCTTTCCATAACGTTTTCTTTGTAGTGTTGGTGGTAAGGTCTCCAACATACTGAGCAACGGCCTTTCCACAACGACCAACGCACCATCTCGACAGAAATTCAAAAAAAGTAATGGCTTGTACTTCTTGCAAATCTTAAAAGATTTCAGTTCTTTACTTTCAGATTTTTCCTTGGGTCTTTCCTTTTCCTTTTGTTCTTTTCCCTTCTTCTTCCCTTTTTCTTCAACTGTATCTAGTTTTGCAGTCTTAGCTTTCCAATGTTTGTCTTCTAAATCGGCTTTGAACGGCCTTTTTCTATTTTCCTCTGGTTTAACTATTTTCTCAAATATAGCTACATCGGGTTCGGGCAAAGGCTGTGAAAACAACCAAAACACAACGTTAAAAAAAACTTATTTTGATATATTCTCGTTGCATTTTTTTGTTTGGCAATGGGGGGCGGTTCGAACCTGCCTACAAAGGTTTGTTTTGTTTTCACAATTTTTTGGTAAAACTTTTGTTCATCAACATTGAAAATTTCTTTGTTCCACGGAGCTAAATTTTCTTTCTACAGAAGAACATAGAATTGTTGTGCGTGAATGAGAGGTTCTCACTAACACTAGCGTGCCCCCTTCCCAACAAATTCAACTAATTCATGCTGGGTTCCTGTGGAATTGGCGGGAAAATAATACATTGCCCCCCTATGATCGAGACCTCGCTATAACCCTGCTCACTAGCGACGCAAGCGGATGCAACTTCGTGTTCTCGCTATGAAAAGAAGCGACGTGACGTGAGCGTAAGAGAACGCAAGATATTGTCTTTCCTGCGTTGGTTTGCACTTTCGCTTGCGCACGGCGCAACCACTGGCGCCCTTGAACTCAAGGGTATACCAACCTCTCTCATGTYTATAACAGTAAATATCTCATGGTCCTGTAGGATCATGAGGTCAGAACATGAAGGATCAAAGGTGATGCCGACTATCTTTTGATGTCTTTGGACCCATTCTTTAGGGAGGCCTTGAGCTGCAGCTTGCTTGGACCAGTCTGTTAGCTTGCTAGTGTTGGTGTTGTACATGAAAATCTTGCAGGAAAGATTAAAAAAAGATTCTTAAGTCAATTATTAATGTTTAAGCATGTCAGATGGAAACGAGTATGAGTAGATATGATTGTAATGATGATGGTGATAATGGTAACGATGATGGTGATAATGGAAATGATGATGACAATGATGATGGTGATTATACCAATGACAGTGGTGGTGAAGATAGTGATGGTGATGGTAATGATGATAGTGATGATGGTGGTGGTGATGGTGGTGGTGATGATAGTGATGGTGGTGGTGATGATAGTGATGGTGATGATAGTGATGATGGTGGTGGTGATGATAATGGTGATGATAGTGGTGGTGATGATAGTGGTGATGGTGGTGGTGATGGTGATGATAGTGATGATGGTGGTGGTGATGATATGATGGTGGTGATGATGATGGTGATGATGGTGGTAGTGATGATTGTGGTGGTGATGATGATGATGGTGATAGTTGTGGTGGTGGTGATGGTGATGAT